GGCAGTGAGACAGCTGACACAAGATGTTTCTAAATATGAATATAAAATACCTATAAAAGGATAAAGTGCAGGATTTTTTTTCTTTTTATTCACTGACTGGCTCCAGTCTGCATCCATCCATCATCAAACTGTCAAACAAGAAAATTGTCCCCCACCCCCCCCACCCCAAAAAAAGCACAATTTTGCAGCAGATAAAAAGTTTTCCGTCAAGCTGTTAACTTCTTCTTCGTTGACAGGTTGACTTTTATTCAAGTTCCTTTTATTAACGTGTTCAGAACTCCCACAAGCAGCCGTGAAGTGAAGAAAGAAATCTGTTGAAAGCATCTTTTTTTAACCAACAAAGTTAGGCAACATTATAACAATTATTGTATCGTACGTAGTAGTAAGATTTTTGACCTGTCCTTGTCTAATCAATACCAAAACTGAAATTTCTGTCTTAGGAATAAAAAAAACACTTTAAACAAAACAAAAAAATTATGTTGATAAAATGATCTAACGCCCAATAACTTACAGTTATTACTAGCTACAAGAGGGAGTAAATCAATTAATCAGGAATAAATTAGATTATTCAACTCATTACCTTTTTAAATTGATGTCTCTTAACAAAATAAAGTGATAATTAGCATCCATAAATTTGTGATTCGGAAAAGCAGCCATTTAATTTAAGAGTGTAAAAGAAAGAAACGTGGATGGAATAATAGAAGTCAGAGATGAGGCTCAATGAGCTGCAGAACGATCATATTTTCCAAGTGTTTATCGTGCGTGCGCTCGCATTATAATCGCCGTGATCAAAGACGGGAAAACGCAACTCGTAAGTGGGGAAACAAGCGTACATGCAATCGCTGCGTCTTCGGTGATCGGCTTTGATCTTTCTTCATAAGTCTGACAAACGTCCCACTCGTGCAGCGTGGTCTAAAAACATAATCCAGCTGGCTTCAGTGCACATGTTAGCGAGTGTGTGACCGTCTCACCGAACCAAATGCACCAAATACAGAGGAAATGTTTCTGACAACACAGTTGAGCCACCGTCCAAAATAATGTCGAGTAACTGCACTATGAACAATGCAAGCTGGTTATCTGTAAAACATTTACTTCTGACTGGCTTTTCAGATGACCTATTTACCATAATCATTAACATTTGACACAGGAAGCTGACAATTATGACAAATAAGTCGATACATTCCATAGAGACACATTCAAATACAGTCTCACCATTACAGCAGCATAGCTTTCTGCTTATTAAATATAGCCTTAATAATCACATGTGAGTATCTGCTAAGCAACAACACAATGCCATTAGCTTACATAATAAAATAAAACACTCAGTGGGCTTAAGAAGGGGTTTATGATCCACTACGAAGCGAGGCCGTCGAGCCAGCAGCCGGGGGGTGATGTAATATTAGCCCGGTTCGGATCAGCCTGCTCTTCAGTTAAACTGGGATCCTCAAGCGAATATGACTCAGTGATGAATGAACGACTTAAATTTTGCATCACGCACACTTCACTTAGAGTCACGCTGCACTCCACAGCTGGCGTTAGCTCATGTCGGAGCACAAAGAGCCCCTAGGAAACTTACTGGTCAACTTTTTTTTTTTTTTTATCACATGGAAAACATTCACAGAACGTCTTGGGACATTTTCTTTAATTAAGTATTGTAATTTATGGTCCGGATATCATTTGAATTGAAATAAAAAGTCCAGTCTCTATGGTGCTCTAACACTCCTGTTCCCACAAGCTCAGGTTTAATTAGAAGCAAATCTTGGTTGTTTCAAGTTAAAGTTCTGGAGCCGTTTAAAGACAAACACCAGACACTTGGAGCACGTTCACCTCCGGCCTGAGTCACCTTTCATTTTATGATTGACACCAGGCATCAACGACAAAGCGCACATAGTTTACAGCGTTGCTTAGACCTGATTAAATAATCTGATATCTACAAAGCACCTTTGTTCTCCATCTGCCGAGGAGGCGACACGAGATCCTCCAGCAGTGATCTTTAACCGAAGCTCAGCTTTCTGTCTGCGGAGCGTCGGCTGCGAGGAATCCCAACACACATCGGTCACTTCTTTACACCAAGTGCAGAAATCAAAGTTTCTGTGGAAATGCATCCGAATGCTGAGCGCTGAATGACTGCTGAAATTAGCTGAAGAAGCTGAAACTGAGTTGTTAAAGCAAAAAGCTAAACCATTAGCTTAAAGCTAAATGTAGAAAAGCCCTATCTAAAGGTGATAAAATTATAGGTAAAATAGAAGAACTGTAGCTAAAAATTAAACTAGTAAAATGCAAACCAAAAGCCAAAGTAGCAAAATGGTAGCTATAAGCTAAGAGTAGCAAAAACTAAAAGAAGAAATAAAGCTATGCGCAGGAAGAAGTTAGCTTAAAGCAGCAAAATGCTAGCTTAAAGCTAAAAGTAGCAAAAACTAAAAGGAGCAAAATGTTAACTAAAAGTAGCAGAAGCTTAAAGTAGCAAAATAGCTAGTTAAGAGCAGCACAAGGTTAGCTAAAAGCAGCAAAATGCTAGCTGAAAGCTAAAATAACAAAAGGGTAGTTAGAAGCTTCAAATAGCAAAAAAGTAACTAGAAGCTAAAAGTAGCAAAATAAAAGCAATAAAAAGTTAGCTAAAAGCAGCTAAATACTAGCTTAAAGCTAAAATAGCTAAATGATAGCTAGAAGCTAAATGTAGAAAAACACTAAAAGTAGCAAAAACGCTAGCTAAGAACAGTAAAATGTTAGGTAAAGCAAAAAAAAGCTAACTACAAGCTAAAATCAAAAAAGGTACCTAAAAGCTAAAAGTATCAAAACCCAAACCGAGCAAGGTTGCTGAACAGAACTTGTCAATATTATTAAGTTGCAGCTGTTTCTAAATAAAGTAGTTATTGCTTAAATTAGAGTACCGTATTTTAGCCAATTGAAAAGCTAAAATGATCATTTAAATTATTTTTATGGGTAATATTTAAGATCGTTTAAAATCCCTTGTTACAGTGACTGAATCGAAACACATGTTGCTTAATGCAGAACTGGTTTTCCATACTCTGAAAGCGTTGAATAATTGATCGGTGAGCCTGTAGCGCCGCACGTTCACCGCTTAGCTATCTGTAAGCATTTAGCTCACAGCTCCGTGCAACCAAACACCTCAGTGATCCGTGTCACTTCAAGATATTCAACCAGACGCCTGAGAGGAACCAACAAACACCGTATTGTGTTGTCTGATCGTGTCGGTTGTTCCTTCAAAGCACAGTTATCACACAACACACCTTTCCTGTCCCCGAGTCAACAACGATCACATTCCACCCCCAAAACTAGCATATTATTTAAAAAAGAACACAATAATTAATGAGGTTGTATGCCCATCGCTGTTTTAGAGTTCAAAATGACTCACTTTTTGTCTGATCTTATAAATGTATATATTTTTAACTGAGAAACAGAACATGACATTTTCAGTTAAATAAAAGAAACCTGTTAGTTTCTCACTTTCTTGGAATAACTGACGTAAAAATGACTCCTTTTAAACCTTTTTTTTATTTATATATTGTGATTCACAGCTCATTTTAGGAATTAATCCTTACTCAGATGCACTTATACGACAAATTAATGCAAGCAAGAGTCTGAAAATGTCATATTATTATTGTAAACAAACTTATCGCAAAGCGTTAATTATTTGTGGAAAATTGAACGAACAAATATGTTCTGAGACAAGTGCAGCCTCCATCTTTGACACTGTCGTTTCTCAGCACACAATGATCTAAGTCAAAAGACTGATGAGCATTTTTTTTCAAGAAATGCTAAGACCTTATTTGTGGAAATGTAAAAAAAAAAAAAAAACACCAGCCGTCTAAGTTAACAACTTTGACAAGTCAAACAAGTAAGCGCTGCATTCCAAAGCCCACATCAGACTGAAAATTAAATAACCTCGTGTTCAGCAGCGAGCGAACGGTCCTGCAAATGACTCATTAGTTCTTGGCCTTCCACAGTGACTTGCTCTCTGCATGTTGTGCACACAAGGTGACCATCTTCTCTTAGCACTTGTTTAAAATCAAAACACTAAAACTCCTCAGACTTCGTCGACTTTGCGATACGAAAATCTTTAGAGCGTTTTTGTTTGCACGTGGGTCTACTTGGAAAGTCAAATGTTGCATTTCTCCATCTTTTTCCAAAGAAACGAAATCTAGTGTCAATGTAAGTCTTGACACCGTACCACTGTTCGTTTGAGGTTGTTACCATGGTAACAGTGCAGATGTAAACAAATGGGAACTGTGCTGGCAAAACGAGCCACAATGAGGAAAGATTTCAATACTGAGTTAATAATATTTTCAAATTCTCCATTTGAAAAGTTTGTTGAAATGTGGCCATCTATCACCTATAACCGTGCGCTAATTTTGTTTATGAGAGCATCCGTTTGAAAACTCTATTTTTATCGTTTTGGAGTGATGTCATCAGGAATTCCAGCTGTAAATTAAAAAGGGGGAATTCCCAAGCATCAGATAGATGCCAAACATGCTGTTTTAGTTACTGGCATCACTCGGTGGACTCGTTTTAATAGTTACGGCAAAAATTGATACTTTGACGGTTTTTTGCACTGCAGCCGGTGCTCATTTCAATTCGTTTTGCCAGCACGGGTCACAAATGTTTCCGTACAAACAGCAAAAGACCAGAGCTTCAAATTTCAAGGAAACAACGGTGTCGTGGGAATCACATCTATAAAATCACGTTGCTGCTTTGATTATTTGGCAATGAACGTGGAAGCAAGAGGCAGTTAAGTCGTTTAAGATTCAAAATGTAATTTCTTTTAGGCTTTTGTCTGCCGTCTCATTTATACTCAACCATCTGTTCTTCCTGTAGTAGTACACTTATTACGTGCATGTATTTCTGAGTCAAACTCACGTACAGCCTGCGCCTTGAAAGCAAAAACACGAGGCTCAAATTGGTTTGTGCACGTTGTGCAGGAAAAGGCTGCCAAACCAGCATGCAGGTGAAACATTCACATGATATGATGAGTAGCCTACCTGTGTAACCTGCAATCCAGCCCCATGAAGACACCATAGCCAGCAGCCACTTGAACATGACCCCTTCGATGTGCCAGAAAGCAGAGCGGTCCCATATTCTGAGGGGCTGCAGCAGCAGCAGATATAAGCAGTAGGATGGGATGGCTACACAGTTGTTGAAGAACATGAAGGTGAAACGGAGCACCGACTTGAGGAGAACCCAGCCCAGTTTGCCGGCACCGTCCAACAGCTGTGCCATCCTGAAACGCGCCGTCTGGAGGACACACGGCAGCAGTTAGTGTCTCGTCCTGTTTGACGAGCGGTTCAGTTTACAGAAGCATGCACAGAGGATCAAGGGGAGAAAACAAAACCTGTGGCATTTCTTCACATAACACAAAACGAACTGTAAGGACAAACGTCTGTGACACGAATGGAGATTTGAGTTGTAAATATTTATTCCCACTCCTCTACCTAGTATGTGAAAATTATCAAAAGTTTGAATTTTAGCCACAATTTGTGGTCACGTAATGTAAGAGACAAACATTTTGTTGTCAATAATAAAAGACAGTTTGCATCACTGCTCTGTCCCAATACGGTTTTTGTCTGTCTGTATACTGTTAATAAAATATCTCATGAATCACTGAACAGATTTTAAAGAAACTCTCAGAAAATAACCATTGGATGTACATTTAAAACTGACATAACTATTAGAATCAACCTTAGAAAGCACAAAAATGGCCACTACTCAGTCAGTTTTACAGATATTGAGCTCAGTATTAGTGTGGAAGTAGCTGAGACTGATACCCATGTTATATTCTGAGGGCTGACAGATCATGCCAGATCTCTAAATATGGTGCAAAAATTTTATTTTAGGGTTTGACAGAATGGCCATAACGTCATAAAGTAAGTTTAGTTTAAAACTCTGGCATTAAAATATTACAGTGCAAAATTTACTTGCAAATGGGCAAAAAACAAAATACAGCAAGCCATTGTTTATTATCTGGGTGTCCAAAAAATTATTTTAAACGTCTTCAGTTGATCCAAAATGCTGCTGTTATTAATGAGAGATCATATTTCTCCAGTTTTAGCTTCTCTCCACTGGCTCCCTGTCAAATTTAGAATCCATCCATCCATTGTCTTTTACCCGCTTATTCCTGTTCAGGTCACAGGGGTCACTGGTGCTCATATCCATCTGTCACCGTGGGAAAGGTGGGGGACACCCTGGACAGGTCTCCAGTCCATCACAGGGACACAGAGACAAACAACCATTCACTCTCTCTCTCACACCTAGGGACAATTTAGAGTTGTCGATCAGCCTAACATGCATGTTTTTGGTCTGTGGGAGGAAACCGGAGTACCCTGAGAAAACCTGCACATGCACGGAGAGAACACGCAAACTCCACCTAGAATAGCCCCTCAGCCAGGATTTGATCCAGCAACCTTCTTGCTGAGAGGCAACAACTCCACCAACTGAGCCACCGTGCCGCCCCAAATTCAGAATAGAATTCAAAATCTTACTTCTAACCTACAAAGCTCTCAATAACCTAGCCCCATCTTATATTACAGAACTTGTTGTTCCACACTTTCCTAAAAGAGCACTTCACTCTCAGACTGTAGGTTTACTTGTGGTTCCTAGAGTTACCAAAAGTTGAATGTGAGGCAGAGCTTTCCGTTATCAGGCTCCTCTCTTGTGGAACCAACTTCCTGTTTCTGTCTGTGAGGCTGACACATTGTCTACATTTAAGATTAGACTTAAGTCTTTCCTTTTTGATAAATCCTATAGTTAGGGTAGGCTTGGGTGTCCTGAGCTATAGCTGTGCTCTATAGGCTTAGACTGCTGGAGGACAAACCGGTACTTGCTCTACTCTACCTGTTTGTATTTGTAAGTATTTCTATTCTTATGTGTTTTTTTGGTTTTTCTTCTTATAGAACGTACACCTGGACCTGCCATTCTGTGTTTGTTCCTACTTCCTGTTGTCTCAACCCCCAGCCAGCCGAAGCAGATGGCTGCTCATCCTGAGCCTGGTTCTGCTGGAGGTTTCTTCCTGTTAAAAGAGAGGTTTTTTCTTTCCACTGTTGCCTTTATGTTTGCTCAGGATGGGAGACTGTGATGAAGTGAAGATTCAACACAGTCTGTTGGCATCCTTAAATAGCTAACTTTTACTAATCGACTTTTTTTTTAATAATGTATGAGAATCCTTTTGTACGACTTCTGTTGTGACTAAATAAACTGAAGTGAATTTGCTACCAGTGGTCTCTCGTCAATAAGTCTGGCTTCTGAAATCTTAATAATTCACATTTCAGTCCACAGATCCCAATAAGTTATAATGATGTAATATCCAACAACATTTAAAGACATTTACAGACTATATTAATAACTCTATGAACTCTAATGTAGTCTCTGAGAAAAAACAAACTTTTTTTTTCTTCCACTACATTTTACTGCTATGATTTAACAGCATTTATATGCAACGCATGCATAAAGGACGCAAAGTGATTATTATTCATCAGACTTCATGAATATGATTAACTGTATTTTGTGACCTAATTGTAGCTGGCTCCCACCCCAGAGCACGTGAAGACAGGACCTTAAAAGGACCATTCACAGGGATGTACTTGTACGGAAAGTAGGTTCATCATATATCTATTTAGCATGTTCTTCAAAGTACATATTATAAGCCAATTCTTCTGAGTTAAATGATCCAAAATGCCATTTTTCCTACCCCGCAATCACATTTCAGATCTCAAATAAGAACAGATCTCTTACTAGAATAAAATACATCACATTTCCCATCTATGTTTACCAAACATTTAGCTCCAAATGTATTTTTTTAATCTAGAATGAACATTAGATATATCTGAAATATGATTCTTACTGAAAGAAACTAACATTTTAGACATCCACAGTCCCAGTGTTACAAATCATAAATCGCATTATAAACTTCTAGAAAAAAAAAAGGGGAGGGGGGTGGGTGGGAATTCTACATATATTCTTGAATAAAAAAAAAAAAAAAAAAAAAAAAAAAAAAAAACACGAGTAAAAATGTTAATGAGGGCATCGCATGTTCTTATTATGATTAAAAAAACTAATTTGTTCATTAAATAACTACTAACGACAATGTAATTACAAATATCTTGGATATCTGCAAAAAACTCTATGAGATGTCATATTAAATGGGACACAACAATTAGTAGCCATCTTTATTTGCAAATATATTATTTTAGATATCTTTATCTAACAAGAATGTAATTTTGACTAGGAGGGATGTTATTATTTGTAGCTACAATAGTAATTAGATTGAATGTGAATGTTATTAAAGTAAATTTGATCTATTATGCTTATTTAATTATACAGGTATTCATACTTTTACAGACGTCTATTACTTCTAAGATGGGGGGCTTTTTAAGTTTAGGAAATGACATTTTACTGTCAAAAGTAATCTTTTATCTTGTGGGCAGTTTGATTATATGTCACGCTGGCCTGCCATAACATGGAGTTCTTCATGCTAGCTAGCAGCAAGGTGAGTTAGCATAACGGGGAAACTGGGGGAGGGGGGGGGGGGGACGTCAGAATCAACAACCTGTGGGTTTCAGTATTATCGTGAAACATTTACACAAATACCAGAAGCAGCTCAAAGGCTTCACTGCTCTGGTAGTTTTAGAGTCGCCACAAAAACGTTGACTCTGACGGTGGATGAGTGTCCGGTGGTGCAAAGCGCAGCGGCGGAGATTCATCCGTGTAGTCCCACCCTGTAGTTTAGTAGTAAAAGTCTCATAGCTCGTGCTACTCACCCACTTAATGTCACTGAAGCATCCAAGGACGGCCTGAGGTTAAAACTAATAAAATAAATGATGCAGTGAACCTAAAATAAATCAGCAAATCTTCCTAGTCGGCATGTTAACTGCGTTAAATCTGATCTGGACCGGGGTGGTAAAGAAAACCCTGTGCGAGATAACCGCTTTTCCATTTAGCTATCCAGGTCCTAGCCGGCTAGTAAGCAGCTCCACTTGAACGTCGCTGGCTCCATCTCAGTGAACGGCTACGATAAATCCTCAGATACATCATCATCATCATCACCGTCGGCTCAGATAGCTAACTGAGCTTCCATCCACTGAGTTCGACAGAGAGGCGGTTCAGGCGGGCCTCGGGTCGACGCCGCTCGTTAACAACCGCAACGCAACGCATACATGTGCGCATCAAACAGGAGGAACGGCGGTTTTTCTTTTCTAGTCTCCTTAGATCCGTTATCTTCCTCCAGATCCCGATTCACAACCGCGGCAAGACCCACAAAGGAAGAGCAGCAGCGAAACGGAAGTGGCTCGAGCTGCTCTTCAAAGTAAAATCCTTAAACTAGCAAAAAAAAAAAAAAAAAAAAATTCTGTTAAGATACAAGAAATAAAATCCTATTGTTTTCATGTAAATAAATATTTAATTCAAATGACTGGGAAAAAAAAATATATATATAGATAGATAGATAGATATCATGAAGGACCCCACTCACCCAGCACACACACTTTTTACCCCGCTCCCCTCAGGAAGGAGGTTAAGGAGCATTAAGTGTAGAACCACTAGACTGAGGAACAGCTTCTACCCTGAGGCTGTTAGACTCATGAATCTCTAACTAGAATAATCACTCTGAAAAACCATATCATGTTGCTGCTGATCTGTTTCATGTTGCTGCTGATCTGTTTCAATGTTGATGTGTTCATGCGTGCACATCTGCTCACAGACTCATGTTCATGTTTGTGCTGATGTTCAATGTTTTATGTTATGAGTGCTTAGTGTATATTTAGTTGATGTTTTTCTTAGTTCATACAGTATCTTAGATGTTAGTACTGTTTTTCTTATACATTTTATTGTTGGATGTAACTGGGACCTTGTGTACATAATTTCGCTCCACCACATGTACCACATGAGGTGCGAATGACAATAAAGAATCTCTGACTCTGACTATGATATATATATATATTTTTTTTGTTTGTTTCCAACTATATTAATTGTCCAGGACATCCTTGTAAAAGAGCCTGATGATCTCAATGGATTTCTTCCTGGTAAAATAAAGTAATAAAAAAATATATATATAAAATATATATATATATATATATATATATATATATATATATATATATATATGTATATATATATACTGAGGCCTGGAAGGTGTGCAAGAACTTTGGTGTTCTCTGTTGTTTTTTAAACTGTTGTGTTTGTAGTCTTCTTTTTTAGCTGTTTATATGAACTGTATGTGTATTTTACTGTCTGTTTGGGCAGCTGCCACAATGCTATATACACCCCTGAGTCCATGACAAATTTTCCCTAGGGGACAATAAAGTATAATCTATTCTATTCTATATCTTGCAAAAAGATCTGAAGCTCTCGATCTTGACCTCTTTAAGGGGCTTTAAACATCTGTTAAGCTCCTGGCAAAATCCAATGCAGGCATGTTCCTGTTTTTAGTATTCTACACTGCCTTACAAATTAGCTGTTTTCTTTGCTACTTTTCCTTTTAATTACCATTTTATTTTCACTTGTTAACAAAAAATTTAATTTGTACGCGTCCTTTATGATTGCCTATTGTTGTCCACTCTTTGTTGAAATTCATGTCTCTCTTGTAAATGAGTCCCCAAGGCTCAATGGAATTAACCTTTATCAATATAGGTTGAATGAATGAATATATATAATGCAACAAAAACTTGGCAAGTAATAGTATGACTGATTTTTTATTTAGTTTTAGTATACCTCACAAAGGAGCATGCTAACCATACAAGTTGGACAGCAAAAAGGCATAAAGAGGAAATAAAAACATTATTTTACTACATCATAAAAAGCAAAAAGAGTGATCGTTAGCACACAAATTACAACAAAGAGGCCAGTCATGGCCAGAAATATAAGTTTTTCTGATAGCGGAAGTTTTGTGTATCTGAATTATCCAAACACGTTCATTCTTTGCATTTCCTCAAAATGTATGATTTCATACAATATAAACCTTGTTGGACTCATTAAGTTGAGAAAATCACTTAGGTGATCTTTCAACCCAAGTATGACCGGACGTAATTCTTTTTATTTTGAAAAACCAGAGCGGAACTTCAATTTTTAAGTCCTTTTCATTTACGCTCGCGCTCTTTTGACGCCAGCTTTTTGGTGTCGAGGCGCGCGCAGACTCCCTGAAGTCAAACATTAGACGGTCGGTGAAGGAAACTGCGCCCCTCCCATCCCATTATTTAAAACGGTGATCGGGTCACGTGACCTCATGTTAAGTTACCGTCCTCTACGCTGTTATTTTGAACATTAAACACAAAGTTAAAAGAAAACTACATGAAATTAATAGTAGAAACACGACATGCAGCATAAACCGCGCTCTTAAAGATATTTTATTTTTTAATTGGGGCCATGGTATTTAGTGACAATTATCTGCCCCCTAGTGGCTTTTTGTGTTACTGCACGTAAGTAATAAAAATCTACTAAGGATATTTATTACATTGTTATAGTTACTGCACATATATACAATACTACTTGATTTAGATTATAGGCAGAACATTAAAAACTTATTCAGATTATAAAGGCCTTAAACTGATTTGTCTAAATATTTTTTCTATAAGCCTTTAAATAATTCACACCAAGTCAAGAGTATTACTCTGATACAAAGCATTTTAATCACTGAAAAAAAAAAATATATATATGTACATGTGAAGTTTCTAAAAAGACAAAACATAACACAAGCTCGCACCGTAAAGGAGTGAGAAGAGACTCGCTAAAATCGAGCGTACGCTCCCCTCTGCGGGGCGGGCTGAGCTCCACCCTGCTGCAGCTGGTGGCGGAGCTGCTGGGAGTAAGGATCCTCCAGAGACTTGACCGACACCGTCGTCTTGGGACCCGTTTTCCACTCGGTGCCGCTCTCGTCCACCACGGAGGCCTCCACCGTGACCAAGTGGGTGCCGAGGACAGAGAAGTTGAGCAGGAACTGGGTGCTGAAGTAGTCGTTGTGAGGTTCTACGCGCTGCTGGATCTCGTTGGTTTTAGTATCCAGTGGAACCTGAAAACAACAACAATACAAATACAACTGGTTAAATCGTGAGCGGTTGTAAAAAATAAAAAACGTTTTAACATGTGGCTGACATAAAACTCAGAATTACCTCGTTTTTTTCCCTAAAATTGTGAAATTTATTAGACATTTATTAGAATCAGAATATCTTTGTCATTGTAACAAGCAGTGGTGATTTTAGCCTCTTTTGGGGGGTGCTGAAGCACCCCTAAAATTTAACTCAGTGCCCCTAAAAATTAAGAAACCATCATTAGGATTTTGTAAGGAAACTCAAGTTCTCAAACCTTAGATAAACCAAAATATTAAAACCTAAACGGAGTCTGGAAAATTGTAAAATTTGTATAAAGCCCTGCAGCCGACCTCATGAGCAGCTGAATATAACGGTGATAAAAAGGAGAGGTTTGGTGTTCAGCAGATTAACTGGTTTAGAGATGCAGGTGTGAAGTTGTACTCCCATTAAATAACACAGATACAGATATCCAGTTTAAGGTTCATTTATTTGCTGCGTTTCTTCTGGCAGTACCCACAGCAGTAAACTGAGAAAGTGTAAGTAAATGCTCAAATGCTAAATTCTGTCTGTGTCGGGAGAGAAAAAAAAATCTACAGCACCATTTTACACACAGAGTGGTGCGTTCACAAGCGTCGGAGCAGCTATGGTGCATTTAAGAGCATAAGAATTACGATACTTAGAAAGAAACAAGCTATAACAGAACTTAGCTCAGTAAACAAGACAACTACCAGTAAACATAAACTATGTGAGCTTTGTAACAAGTGATAAACAGGAAGTACTACATTTTCATCTGTACGATGGTAACTGCAAGTAAATCCTCCATTTTTTTGGTCATAATTAGGATACTTACTTAGTGGTTAAATTAAAGGTTAATCAATCAACCTTTATTTATACAATGTGTAACGCTAGTTGTGCTTTGTTTAGTGTGTTTTAAATGTAGATATATGTGGCAACTTCTGGTTGCATAAGTTTAGTCTTTGTCATGATCAGTTAACACTAAACTGATTTTGTACAAAGAATTTATTAGGTTGTGTATATTTTATATGTATTTATACGTACAGCATATGCTTTAAATGTTTTCTATGACTGTTTATTGTTGTGTGTACCTAATCTGTGTTTTTTTGTTTAAAACAGGTCTCGAGTCCTCCTGACTCAATGAGACCAACTGTATAAATAAAGGTAGAATGAATGAACGTAATGTAAAGCGGAGTGCTACGTCTCTAGCATCTTAGCTAGCGTGACTGTATTGTGCTCCACTAGCCTAGCGCTACTTCTTCTTGTACCATGCTCTCTAAAATAGTTATTGACTCAAGTATTTACTTATGTAGGTAAACATAGACGTTTAAAAACCCATTAAAATAGACCAGAATGCAGGAAATGGCATCTACTTGATTCAAAATTTTCTGGGGGAGGACCTCCAGACCCCACACCAATGTGTCGCCCCCACACTTTAAAAAAGCTTCTGATGTCAATGGCCGTAAGAGTCATCGTCAACACTGGGGGCTAAGCACCCCTAAAGGGCAGTTTCTAGAATCGCCCCTGGTAACAAGTACAACAAAATTAAGTGTTCCCTTATGGTGTCAAAGATATGAAAAGGATAGAATGTGAAAAAGGATGAAAGATTTAAAAAAAAAAAAAAAAAAAGGGTAAAATTAACTATTTACAAGATAAAAGGAGCAGTCATACAACACGCTATTGGACATTAAGGCGTCCATTAAGGTTATTGCTACATCTGCTGCCCAACAAAATATAAAATGGGCTAAAGTTAAACACAGTTACACAGAAAGGGAGAGCAGTGAGCCGCTGCAACTGCATGCACCGCCATCTTGATCTCCCAATCTGCTACGATCCATTGTGCAGAAAACACGGCTTCATTTTGTTTTGATTGCATTTAGGAAAACCTTGGAAAAAGCAAGACATACTTTGTAGTCGGTCCCCGTCTTGTTCTGGAGAACTGAAGTGACACCGAGGCAGACAGATTGGATCTTCCTGAAGAGTCCCGGCGTGGAACCATGTTGTACCACCCCCTCCACCTTGAGAGTCAGCTGCTGGCTGTTCTGCACGGGGATGGGCTCACTGGGTGTTCGAGGTGACGGGGAGAGAGCAAGCTACGGAAGCACAAAACAACAGGAAAATTGTTGTCTAAAGAACTTACTTGCCCTTAAATTGTAAACAAATGTAAACAAACAGCCAAATTAACCAGTTTGTCCACAATTACATGCAGAAATCAGTCAACAGTGGTTGTGCCGACATATTAAAAACAAATAAAATTCATCACCTTGATGCTGGTTGTCTGGAGCTTTTGGAAGAAATATCTTTGAAAAGACAGCGGCACTTTCAACAAAGCTATGACAGCATCACAGAGGCAACTTGTGTGCTGAAAAACAAACAACACGGATTTAGTCAAGAGGACAGTTTTTTTTGTTGTTGTCATTTATCACTCCCAAATGAGATTTGACAAAATTAAACCCTTAAAAAATACAGCCATTAACACAAACACAATACCTTCAATATCTGCTGAATTTGCAGAGATAAATACGAGTTTTAATTTTTAATCCAAAATATACACAACCTGGAGCGAGCAATAGAGAATAAATGGACTAAATCTGCAGGAAAACAAAAACTAGGCTGAACAGGTGAAGTTCTTTGTGACTGTGACTAGTGTGGGGGGACTCACCAGGTGTGAAACAGGAGGATGTTTCTTGGACAGACCTTCCACTTCCTCCAACACGTGGTTAAAGACGGACATCATCCGGCGCTCGTATTCGCTCTCTGTCTGAACAGAGCCCAGAGCAGCACACTCCTGGAAACTACACATCAGACGGGACAAGTTTACAAGCATATACTAAAGAGCTGACTGAATCCTACAACAAGCTGTACGACACATAAACGCATCACTATTTTCCCACAACAAACAGATTCTAAGTTTTCGTCTGTTTTCTTTAAAGGCAGAAAACAATAAGAACACACAAATGAAGCTGCTTCAGCTGCTCTCACCTGGCTGCCTGCGGGTCCAGTATCAAAGCTTCAATTACGTGAGACACGAGCAAACAGCTTTGCTGCTGTCTGGACAGATGGTTAAAAAAATTAAAAAGTAGAGCAGGAACTGTCAGAGACGAGCGCGACCGGACTGAGAAACGTTTAAGGATACAGCTCCACGTTACGAAGGGTGGCGTAATCTGCATCGAACAACGACTGGTGCAGGTCAGCGTAGCGAGCGGCGAGACCTCTGAACTCATCCATGCACACCTTCATCTGGAAAAATAAAAAGGTGAAAAACCACAGCAAGACTCATTTACTCCTCTTGGATGAACAAATCCTGCTCACTACACGGTAATAAACTACATGATCGGTCTGTTTTACAGCGTGAACGCTGAGTCAGCATCACACGGTTTGCCTCTTTGTGGTTTCTTCTTCTTCTGTTTGTTTTTAGAAAAAAAAAAAAAAAACTACTTCATACATTGCATTATTTTAACTATTCACCAAAACGTTCACCTCAATCAGAAATAATGAGCCACAACTATTGTTTCATGGAATTTTTAGACTTTTAAATATATTCAATTTTATTTCTCTGATTCATTCAAATTTTTCATATAAATATATTAAAATCTATTCATTTTCTTCAAAAACATTCTTGTGTTGAAATCTGCTTCAGTAAACTTGTTCTTTTTGTCTTTTTATGCTACCTTTAGCTTTTAGTTGCAGTTCTATTACTTTTAGCTACTGTTCAGCTATTATTGTCTTTTAGCTATTGTTCTGTTACTCTTAGCTTTTAGCTATTGTTCTGCTACTTTTAGCTTAAGCTTTGCTCATTTTTACTAGTTTTTTAGTAAATTTAGTATAAGCATCTGATTTTCTACCTTTATTCAAAGTTTTGCTAATTTACATATGGGCTAATTTTATCTTGTAGTATTTCTTTAGCTACTTTTATCTATAGTTTGAACAAGTTAAGCAACAGTTTTGCTAGGCTTAGCTACAGTTATGCAAGGTTTAGCTACAGTTTTGCAAGGTTTAGCTATAGTTTTGCTAGGTTTAGCTATAGATGTGCTAGGTTTAGCTACAGTTTTGCAAGGTTTAGCTACAGTTTTGCTAGGTTTAGCTATAGATGTGCTAGGTTTAGCTACAGTTTTGCAAGGTCTTTAGCTACTGTTTTGCAAGGTTTAGCTATAGTTTTGCTAGATTTAGCTATAGATGTGCTAGGTTTAGCTACAGTTTTGCAAGGTCTTTAGCTACTGTTTTGCAAGGTTTATCTATATTTTTACTAGGTTTAGCTCTGCATGTGCTAGGTTTAGTAACAGTTTTGTTAGGTTTAGCTATAGATATGCTAGGTTTAACTACAGTTTTGCAAGGTCTTTAGCTACACACAGCAAGACTCATTTACTCCTCTTGGATGAACAAATCCTGCTCACTACATGGTAATAAATTACATGAGCATTTGAGCATGAACTTTGTTGTCTTTAGCTACAGTTTTGAAAGGTTTAGCTATAGATGTGCTAGGTTTAGCTACAGTTTTGCTAGGTTTAGCTACAGTTTTGCTAGGTTTAGCTAGTTTTGCTAGATTTAGCTATATATGTGCTAGGTTTAGCTACTGTTTTGCAAGGTCTTCAGCTAGTTTTTCTGGGTTTAGCTACAGTTATGCTAAGTTTAGCTATAGATGTGCTAGGTTTAGCTACTGTTTTGCTAGGTTTAGCTACAGTTTTGCATTGTGTAAGTTTAACAACTCAGTTTCAGCTTCTGTTGTCAATTTTAGAAGTTATTTTTACTTGGCAATCTCTTTACATTTTTTCTGGAAGTGTGGATTTTATTTGAACAGGATGAAGAAAACATGAAGTTAAGACTTAAAAGAAAAATAATAAAAAGCAACAGGCAAAAAAATAAAATAAAAAACATCTATCCAGAACTACTGAGAAACCGATGACTGGGTTTCTGCATTTTGACCTGAAACTTGGACAAGTTTACCTGCATGGAGATGCGGCCGCAGCGCTGCAGGTCGTTGCCTGAGGTGAGGGCGATGGTGGTGGCGATGGCGGGAGGAGGGCTGGTTTTCAGGCTGTTGCAGGTACAGATGAGCTGCGACAGCGCTTGCAGAGTGTCGATTCGCAGCTTAATGAACTCACACTGAAACGTAAGCGGGCTAAGAGGAGTACTGGCAGCCTGCAGGGAAAGGTTTATCGAATCAATTGTCTAAAATCGTACAATCAAGTACAAAGTTGTTGCTTGGTTGACCCAACTAAACAGTTTGTGTTCCACGTCTCCAGATCTGAGCCTCACATGCTCAGAGTGCTGCTGTTGTTTGTGTAGGAGAACCTGCGTTCCCATCCTGACAAGCAGAAGCCTGGTAGTTAACTGACCGTGAGGGAAGCGATGCCCTTCTGGTACGAGCGCAGGGCCTCGGCGATGGCGCTCATGGCTCCGCTGTAGTCTCCATCCTCCACGTGACTCAGGCACTGCTCGGCCTGAGAAAACTCCTTCAGGCTGTTCAGCCAGAAGTAGAAGTGCTCCGATGCCACGCGGGTGCGCAGACACTGGTACAGCTCGCTAGAGAACTCATGGCAGCCCTGCAGACGATGAAGAAACAGCTACAGGATTCTCCCGTTGGAAGGTTGTTAGAGACCCGTGGAACATTAAAACTCACCATACGGGAGGCTTGCCGTGCAATACGATACACCGTCCAGCCGTTAGCGACGTTCTCCAGCTGTTGTTTGATGATGGTTTTCACTTCAGCAGATAGAGACGATTGGCTGGCGACAAAAATCACTGTTGCCAAGGAAACCTGGAACAGAGTGATGGATAAGAGCAACGAAGCAAGTGAGAATTTTTAAAGAGAGAAACAGCACTTTCTGTAAAAATAAACGTTAAACTGAGGTTAAAGCTTACTGAAGAGGCTGAAAGCGTAGAAGTTAAAAGTAGCAAAATGTTAGCTAAACGCTAAAGTAGGAAAAGGTTTGCTGAAAGATCAAAACATCAGGTAAAAGCAGGAAAAGGTTCGCTAAAATTTTGCCAAAGGTTACTGAAAAGCTAAGAGCTGCAAAAAGCTAGCTAAAACACAAAACATTAAAGCTAAAAGTAGCAAGATTGCTAAAAATATCAAAGGACAACTAAAAGCTAAAGTAGCAAAATACTGTAGTAGCTTGAAGCAAAAAGTAGCAAAAGGTTAGCTAGAAGTGCAAGTAGCTAAAAGATTTAAAGGCTAATAGTAGAAGAACGATAGCTAAAATATTAAAATACCATAACAATAACTAAGTGTATAAAGTAGTAGAACAATAGCTAAACATTTAAAGTAGCAGAAACGTAACTAAAAGCTTAAGCAGCAGAACAGTAGCTGAAAGCAAAAAAAAGTCAAATAAAAGATCAGGATTTCTAAAGGAATTGTAGAAATATCAGTATTTTGCAGAAATATCAGTATTTTTATCGGAAAGAATTTGTAAATAAAGTTCATCACAAAGTATAAAAGTTGCAAAAACTAAAAGTCATAGCATCCATCTCCTAAATGAGCTGAAATTTGGTTAAAACAGCCCAAAGAATGCTGATATACTGTAGTTAAAATGCTGAATCAGCTTGTGCACCCAGTTCAACTTCAGACGACGTGTGATCCGTGAAAACTTTTCTCACCAGTAGCTCCTGCTGCTGCTCGCCGGTGGAGGAGAGACCGACCACTCTGTAAAGATCCATCAGATCTCCCAGCATGCCGTCTCCCAACACGGGCAGGTGGGCGGCTATGGCTGCCAGGGCGTGGCACATCAAGACACGCGAGGAGTCGCAGGATAAGTGGAGCTGGCCGAGCAGGAACTCCACAACCGACTGGCTGAGATGGGGTCGATTTTTCAGCAGCTTAACCAACGAGGTCAGGGCCGTCTACAAACATCAGTGGGAAAGCATTGAAGTGCGTTTCTCTTTGTAATACATTTCACATGAAACCATGATTCAGCATATTTGATGAGGAAAAAAACAAAAGCAGCTGACTCTGACTACATAAACAGGTTTGATGAAACTTCTTATATAAACTGTACAAATAGCCACCCTTTCAAAATGTACACCCCAAGAAAATTAGCTCCTCAGATTTGTTGCGTTTGAAATCTTGACATTATTTAGGACTGTCATTGCTTCAGCTGATATTTGTTCCAGTGCAGTTCTCATCCTGATTTAACACGTGAAAGTTTAATCAGGCATCAATTTCATCAATCATGAGTTGGAAAATTTAGCAAAACTGTCAAAGCTTTATAAACGTCCAGGCCACTGCTCCAGAAATTACTAAATAAAACTGTTCTAGTTTCAGTCTAACTCGGAATAAAAGAACCAATACGAACAACCACAAACCTGAGCAGGCTATGGAAGACAGAATACGAAGGCCGTTGCTTTCAGTGCGTGTCAGAACAAAGAACAATGACTTGTTCTTTGTTCTGCCCTGTGTTTACAGTGTTGCCTTACTTTGAGTGTAGCCTGTGCACTGGGGCTGCTGTCCTGACTGCACAGCATCAAAAGGGACTCCACTCCCAAAACTGTGTCCTGCTCCAACTGTATGATATCTGAGGAAACAGGAAGTTCAACAAATCGCATCAAAGAGACTCTGATGGAGACAGGAGTTGAAAGAGATTGTCAAACTGTCCACAGGAACTGACCTTTTTCCAGATAGGAAATGGCAATGTTGCAAAGGACTATGACCCCGTGAGCAGCCACCACCAGGTTGCTATGGTAACAGCATTCTTGTGCCAGTTTAACCAGGTCAGTGAGGCGGGGGGGAAGTGAGGAGCCACCTGACAGGATTTGAAGTCATTCTTATGTTAATAATCTGAACAAGTCACTGAAAAATACCATTTTGTAGCAAACCAAACAAAAAATATATAATAATTTAAAAGCAACCCTTACCTGCTGCACTACTGAAATACTGCTTGATTGCTATTGTTCCAGAGAGGGTGCAGAGGACAGCTAACATGCCCAGCTTCAGACTGTTGTAAGGGATGGTCAGAGCGCATTCACACAGAGTCTGCAGAGCATAAACTTCTTAGATTTTGTGCTGATTTTAAAGCCACACTGAGACAACGATGCCACACAGCTGTCAGCATCCCTACCTGAGTGTTTTCTCTGATCCACAAGTGAGGAGCCTTTTTAGCAAGGAGCTTTAGGTCATTAATTGCGAGTCTCTTCACGGCTTTTCTCGGATCATCTTTCAGGTACTGAAGGAGAAGCTGCAACTGGGTAGATAAAGAGTTTCATCAGCCTAAATGCTAACAGCATAGAGCTACTATCTGAGTATCATGTCATGACAAAATCCCTGACGCGATTATGCGACGTGGCGCTACCTGCTTGGGGATATCGATGAGCGAGGAGGCAGCCAGCTGCGTGAAGGTGTGCAGCGAGACAATGACCATGGGGGTGGAGGGGTACGAATTGACAAGGTGCTGCAGAAGCTCTCTACTGCTGGATGCCAAGCTGGCATCATGATGCATGTGCTGCAGCATGGGGATCAACTTCAGCTTCAAGTCGACTGGAGTGTCCAAACCTGCCACCGTCGTTAGAGTAAATAAAAGAGCATATGATGAAAAATATCAACAGGGTGCAAGTTACTGCATTTTTGGATCGAGTAAAATAGATCATTTCGTATAAATGTACTTCTGAACAAACGTTTTACCTTGAATCATCTCGCTGACTTTGTTGCAAATTCCAGCTGCAAAGTCTCTGGAAAGATCAAAAGAGTAAAAACATGTAAGCAAGTCAAAACTGTTCTTTGTTAGACTGCAGCTGGGATTTAAGGCTACTCTCACTAAGCTCCGACTGTTGGGAGACTACCGTAAGTGATTACTCAAAATTGTGACAAAATACATGTATTTTCAGCTACAGTCTCACTGAACTAAATGTTTGCGACCAAGTGACCATCAAGCCACGAGCCCACATTTTGAGCAGCAAGTTGCCTTTTTTTTTTAAATCACAGCCTATTTTTGTGCGCACAGCTTGCAAATTTGTACTCTCGGCTTTGCACATTATTTTTTCCCCACCTCCTCCACGGTCATACAAGCCTCGGCTTACTTTGTTCCCATCTGGGTAGTAACCCTCACATTTTTTTATTTGATGAGCACACTTTTGGAAAAAGGTGGATTGCCCTCTCCGAGTTGGGAGTTAGGTGCTCCCTCAAGTGGTAGAGTTCGATTATTTCAGGGTTTTGTTCATGAGTGCGGGAACAATGGCGCATGAGATTGACCGACAGATTGGTGCGGCTTTCGCAGTATTACGGACTTTGTGCCGGTCATTTGTGGTGAAGAGGGAGCTGATCTGCCAGGTGAAGCTCTCCGTTTACCAGTCAGCTTCCGTTCCTACTTTCAACTACATTCACAAACTCTGGGTACTGTGACAGAAAGAATGAGATCTGGCATGCAAACGGTCAAAACGAGTTTCCTCCGCAGTGTAGCTGGACTCTCCCTTAGGGACAGGATGAGAAGTTTGGTTATCCAGGAGAGACTCAGAGTAGAGTCACTGCTCCTCCACATCAAAAGGAGCCAGTTAATGTGGTTTTGTCAGCTGGTAAGGATGACTCCTGGACGCCTCCCTAGGGAGGTGCTCTGGGCAAGTCCAACTGAGAGGAGACCCCAGAACACACTGGAGAGACTGCATCTCTCAGCTGGCCTGGGAACACCTTGGGGTCCTCCCAGAAAGGAAAGAGATACCTGGGCCTTCCTACTCAAGCTGCTGCCCTGACTCTGGGACAAGTGGAAAATATCAAATGCATGAAGAACAACAATAGGATACGCAGATTTGAACCAGATTTTTAAAACACTTGTTCATCACGAGTGTGGAATTTTAGACCTGGAATACCAGCTCAGATGTTTTCTTTCAGAGGACATCTCCCATACAAATGTCTAAAAACAGCTCAAGCATTCATAAAACGTGTTGAAGACCCCAGCAGCAAAATTAAGATGAGTTTTAGGCAAGTTGGAGATGCCCACGATGACTTTGAGACTGTACGGACAGAAAAGTTGTGGGATCATTTTTTTGAACACATTCAAAACTCAAGAAATGTGGCCGTGTGCCTCAGTGACTCAAGCATGTATGCTGGGAGCCTCCTAAAGTCTCATAACATTCAGGAGACATTCAGCACAGTGAAGATAGGGCCTCAAGTGTTGGTTTTCCTTACTTTGACTGTGCAGAGAAACTCGCAGCAGCAAAAATAGCAGCCTCCACTTCCACATTGTCATGAGAGTCCAAGCTTTGCCGAATACTGTGGTGGGCATTCTTCCTCTCCGGGATGATGGAGGCCAAACTACCAAGCATCCTGAACAAATTAAACAAGGAAACTGCTTCTTAGAATTTATTTTATGTGTGTTAGTGTTAGCTCTGATCTTCTAAAGCTGTGTGTACAACTTCACCTCAGAGTGATGGCTCTGGCCACAGGATCGTTGCTGTGGATGACTGAAAACACCCTTTTAACAAACTCATCCACGTTGAGAATCTTCTCCAAATGTTTCTCACTCTGCTGTGTTACTTTCAGCACACACAGACGCAGAAAGTTGTTGCTGAGGAGAGATATGAGCTTCTTAAAACATGTTTGAGGCACATTAGAAATGATTAGATGGATTTATATTTGATTCTGAAAAATGCTTCGGACAGTTTACCTGAGATGCAAAAAACGCTTCATTTAGATCAATATCCAGAGCGAACCATCATTTAATATATGAACGCAAGCATCCTCCCTCACCAAGCAAAATCTTGATGTAGTTTGACTTGTATATTTTTGGAAGATGTAGTATAAAACATAAATGCTTTGCATTATCTTATATGAAAATTCTTAGATTTTTTTTATGCCCACTGGTTTGAGAACATGATTGTATTTGATCATTACATGAATTATGTTAACCAAATAAATTGTGAGTAAAATATGCATTAGGCTACTATTGATGTCCACTGTTCGTGCCTGAATATTGTTAAAACATTTGCTTTTTATTAAAGCCCATGATAGAAATTTGCTCCATTAATAAATGTTTTTGCAAGAGCATGGTCCAATTTGTCTAACAAACGGTAGATTTTTGTTGTTGTTGTTAAAATGCCTTCAGAAGAAAAATTAAAAAAAAACTCTTAAATCTCTCATACCCAAGCCTGAAGATGTCAGCCAGTTTCAGAAAAGCAGAGTTGATGAGGATGGGGAAAGGATACTTCTGGAAGAGTTTGGGGAACAACACCACAGCCTCACACTGCTCTCCGAGCTTCCCTGAGCGTAGCCCTGAAATTACAAGCAATGCTCCAGTCACTACAAAGCAGACACAGCCCTGAAAAATACGACAAAACCTTAGCAAATCATGAAAACACAGAATCAATGAGCCAAATGCTAACTCGTTAGCACCTTTGTCCAGCTCCATAAGAGCGGAGTTAGCGTCCAGTTCTTGCTCGCCATAACAAGCCTCTGACAGGAATGAACGAGCTGTTGAAAGAGACATTTTTAACTTCCAGGATAAACTTTTAAGTAAAATGGTTTAAAAATAAAAGACAAGGTTCAAGCATTTCTCCAATCAAGAGGTGCTAAAACGGTCAAAACCATCAGAGTATTACTACGTCCGGCGAAGGCTTTTCAAAATAAGAAAAAAAGGTTCCTTTTTCAAATTTGGGTCAAATTTTAGATGCTGCATTTATTAAGATTAAGAATATAAAATAATAACCAAAATCCAATAAATTATGACTAAATAAAAAACATATTAGTGCTGTTTGTATCCTGCATTACAGAATACGAAGCATCAGATATTCTAAAAAAATGTATCAGTTATTGTTTTTAATCGGTATTCATCCTGCACATATGTGTCATTTTGTTGGCAATTTTAAGAAAAAATAAATAAAAAAGCACTGTAACGTGTGAATCAAGGGAGCAGTTTTCGATTGTACACTTTTCCATCCACCCCCAAATGACGCACTGTGCTCTTATGTTGAAAGGGTACCCAGCATCGGATGCCCGGAAGCGGAAAAGCTCTAGTTCGGAAGTCGCTGTTCTATCCACCAATCGCAACGTTTAGCGCGGATTTCGTTTCTTCCTTATGGGCGATCTGTTCGCGGGAAAAACACCCGGGTAGTAGGACCATAGAGTAGGATCCTACCAACTTAAGATCCGACCAGCTTTTTGTTGATTTCACATCGTTTTGTCTGGACCATGGGCATGTTTTTCCGCTCCATTGTTGACAGAGGAGTGGGCAAACGGAAGCAGAACGGTGAGACATGATGCGTTCAAGGGGCTCGACTTTTGGCGATTACTGTTACTCATCTCCACTCCAGCTTGATTTGAATTCCAGCTCAAGCTTTTTATTTAAGTCAGAGGTGTTAAAGTTTATATAGATGATGTTAGAGCCTTGATTTTATTATTCATTTGACCTTTAAAAAAAAGGGTTTTTAATTTCATGTCAACCAAAGAGAAGGCAACGTTTTTACTTTTTAGAATCATTCACTGAAACAACGCAATTTACCAAATTCCTTTGTGTTCAAACGTGATTTTAACTTCGTCAGGCACACATATATAATTATGAATTTTCAATCACCTTCAAAATAAATCTAAGCAGTAATGTTTTTCATTCAGCCTTTATTTATACAAGGTAGTCTCATTGAGTCACGTGGACTCATTTACTAGAGAGACCTGTAGACCGTGTGGACACATTTGCTCTTTTTTTAATGGATGGGGGATTCTCATTTGTGTTTTTTTTTTACCATCTGTCTCCTCATTATACCTTATTTTTTGGGGTGCCGGGTTTTAATAAAAAAAAAACAGTTGAAACCATAATGCCACATTACAACAGTATAACAGGAATCCATTAGAATTTTGAGGCTCAAATTAAACATGATCCCAAAAGTAAAAGTCTTAGATTACCGGTAGATATTAGAAAATGAATTTTGGTATATGAAGTTCTGACCATGCATCATTCTGTGCAGCTCTCTTTGCAGATTCATGCTCCAGGATCCCTTTGACCTCCCTGCTGGAGGGCTACCAGTGCATCCTGCACGATGAGCACATCTCTTATGGGAGCATTGGCGACTCGGTGCCACCATTTGGACTGGCCTTCTCCTCTGGTAATCTATGTGCATACTGTTCATAAGAGCAAGATGCTGCTGTTGTTTTTTATTTTTGTTTAAATAAAAGTATCTTCCTTTTAGCTGCAGAGCAGCAGCATGTTCTCGCAGCAGCTAATGAAGAAGGAATTGTTAGGATCTACAACACAGAGAGCCACAAAAAACCTCTTCTTAAAGGTACTTTTCTAGTTTACCCTTTTAACCATTTGTTCTGTGCAATATTAGAATAAACTGTTGCCTGACTGGGTGTGAACTTTACAGAATGGCTGGCTCATGAGAATGCTGTCTTTGACATTGCATGGGTTCCAGGAGAGCCTCAGCTGGTCAGTGCAACTTTACACCCCATTTTTAAAATGTAGGTGCACAATTTCAAATGCGTTTTGATCAAATTCCATCCTCAGGTGACTGCTGCAGGTGACCAGATGGCCAAGCTGTGGGACGTGAAGACCGGAGAGCTGTTAGGCAGCTTTAAAGGCCACCTCTGCAGCCTCAAGTCTGTTGCATTCGCTCCAGGGGAAAAAGGTAGACTTTTACCTAAACCTGGCATTTTGCTGTTGAGTCTTGTGCTAAACCTTTGTCTTAATTCAGCTCCTGAACATGCTGCCTACATGTTAGTTTTTGCCTTTGGTTATAAGTGTTCACAATCTGCCCCTCAGATACATTCTGGGTAAATACCAGCGTTAGAAGAACAACTGTAAGGCCATAATATTGTTTTAACAACATGTGTTGAACCAAACTCGGTTTTATTGTCATAAAATGAGCTAGATCACTCTGATCTGCACTACAGCAGTTTATCCTCTGCGTTTTGGGATCAGTTATTTATATAAATCATCCAACATATGTTGGTTTGATGAAATTCAAGAACGCAAACTCAGAATCCAGAGAGTTACTGGATATAAGCAAATGGCAGACCTTCCATGCAAAACGAAAGTCTGACAGTGAATAAAAAAACTTTTGTTCACAGCTGTTTTCTGCACTGGAGGAAGGGATGGAAATATTATGGTCTGGGATATCAGGTGCAGTCAAAAAGGTACAGGTGCTTATAGTTTGTCACATGGATTTCTTGGTATATTTATCACAAATAATTGCAGTTTGATAAGAGTGTTCCAGCATACAGAGCCAGAGAGTGAGTCTTTACCATTTATGTCTTGCTCTCAGATGGTTTTTACAAGCAGGTGAAGCAGATCAGCGGCGCTCACAACAAAGCCGAGACAAATCCTCCGTCTAAAGGAAAAAAGAGACGCAGCGGCATGCGTGGCATGGCTCCCAGTGTGGTGAGTTTCTGCAGCAGCTGCTTCAAGTTTAAAGAACTCGAATGAAGAGGTAAATTTTATCTTATGTGTTGTTTTTTTACAGGACACCCAGCAGAGTGTAACAGTGGTTTTGTTTTGGGATCAGCACACGCTCATCTCTTCCGGGGCTGTTGACGGGTAAAAACATCTCTTTTTGCTCATCGATAAAATCCACTTGATGACTTGAACCATCATTTTATTTTTCTCTCCCCGTTTCAGAGTAATAAAGATGTGGGATCTGAGGAAAAGCTACAGCCCTTCTCGCTACGACCCCGTACCCCTGCAGACGTACCCGTACGCCGGCTCTTGCACACGCATGCGTCTGGGTCCGTACTGTGTTACACACGCCAAAATAAAACATTAAAAATGAGCAAAAGATCACAAATAAGCATGCTTTTTTTTTTTCCCCCATGCAGGTTATTCTGGTCTCGTTCTGGACTCCTCAAGATCTAACGTCATGTGTAACTGCACAGATGACAACATCTACATGTTCAACGTCTGTGGGATAAAAACAGCTCCAGGTATATTATTTGAATCTGTGCCACAATGGACATTTTCCTGCTTCTCATTATTTTGTCACTTGATGGCGCTAATGCTTTATGCCTTTATTCTGTAGAGCTGCTAGAGATGAAAAGTCTAGATGCAGTTTTGCAATTGTGCATAATAGGCTTATTCTTAACGCTTTGAAAGTTTGTTAAATTTTTAATCTTAGGTAGCTGAGAATCATGTGGTTCATTATGACGTCATTCATGCAGGTAGCCATTTTGAAGTGCTTAACTGTACTGTAAACAGAAGTGTCAGTAAATTATTCTCAGTACATACTCTGAGAGTGACAGCTCATTAGTTTGCAAATAACATTATTTTAAACGTTTGACCAAAACTGCTAAAGTTCCATCATTTCTCAACATAAAATCTTAATCTGAAACTATAGCATGAAACGCGGCGGGTGACACGCGTTCCTACAAGAAATGCTAAAACGTTATTTTTAGTCTTTTTTAATATTTAAAGTTTGAAACTTTTGAGTTTGTTTGTGGCTCCTTGGACTGATGAAGTCCTTTGGATGAAGGACGAAACGTCTCAACAAAAAAAGAAACCGTCCAGATGACCTGACTGAACGATGTTGGATTTTTTTACTTGGATTATTGAGCATGAACTTTGATGTTTTGAACCACTTTGGCTATGGCTGCCTCAGAGGAGTCTACAGGGGAGACGGCGGGCCCCAGAAACCATTTTATCACCAGCAAACTGGTTGGTCCACCATCAGAATCATTGTCAACCTTTATTGTCATTGCACAGCAGTACAACAAAATTACATTTCAGTACAGCCGCCCAAAGAAAACATGGGTAGTCGGGGAGGCTGCAGCCTCATGTGAAGCGCTGTCCTTTTTGTTTAGATAAAGGGAAATGGGTAAACATGAGTAAAGGTGAGGTATTAAAAAAAAAACATCTCACACAGGCCCCCCAAGTGAGCGACGTAGCCATTGGCACCTTCGCATCTACCTTGAAGGGAGCGGGTAGGGGAGGTGGGAGCAGATTGTCTTGTTCTCATAACATCCAGGAGAGTTTGAGATCGTCATCCTTCCAAGACTGACGCCAGAGGAGCCAGGTTCAGATAGCAACATTTGTTTTGGGTCAAGACGAGCTCTGTTGATTTCCGTCTGTCTTTTACAGTCTCACTAGTACATCTCAATGGCGGCTCCAAACATCCAAATTGTGGTCGCATACTCCAAGTCGAGCTTACGACTTCTCCGAAATCTATTCCTTCCTGCCAGCGAGAGTCAAGAGCCGCAAGTAGCCTGCGATTCTCAGCAGGAATCGTGTCCAGCTTACAGCTCAGCTCGCACAGCATTTGAGTCTGAGTGTTGACGGCACGGCACATTCCTTCACACAGGCCGGGCAGCTTTACAATGGCCAGAACAGCTGCCGACGGTTTCTGAATTTGTCGATATGCCAGGGAAACACCAACTCCAAAAAGCAGAAATCCTGTTATCATAAATCCAATTATGTACACATCTTCAGCGTCCTCGACTGACAAAGTGGACAGACACACGATCTTCCACTTCCCCCAGGAGTCCATTGTGTATCCGGCTGCCAGTGTCCCGTCGGGGCAGGAGGGCTCTCCTTCGCCCTGTCTTCTCATTGAGAAAATGTGATAATTTGTGTCAAGAGACCAGATCCATAATTTACAATTCGGAAGATATGCAAAAAGAGGCTCTGAAAAAAGGTTCACAGGACAAAGAGCAGAGCAGGGAAGGAATAGGAGGGAAAAGAGTCCGCCTTCGCCGAGAGCAAGAAGGGAAAAAAAGGGGAAAACTACGGGAGTGTGCTGCTTGTGGGATTGAGTTTGTTGTGGTTCCTTGGACTGATGAAGTCCTTTGGATGAAGGATGAAACGTCTCAACAACCAAAAAAGAAACCATCCAGATGACCTGACTGAACGATGTTGGATTTTTTTACCTGGATTATTGAGCATGAACTTTGACGTTTTGAACCACTTTGGCTATAGCTGCCTCAGAGGAGTTGACGGGGGCGAGGGCGGGCCTCAGAAACCATCTTATCACCATCAAACTGATTGGTCCACTATGTGAGTGTTCTGCTTGTGGGACTGAGTTTGTTTGTGGCTCCTCGGACGGATGAAGTCCTTTGGATGAAGGACGAAACGTCTCAAAAAAGAAAGTCCAGATGACCTGACTGAACTTTGTTGAATTTTTTTTACCTGGGTTATTGAGCATGAATTTTGCTCATTTGAATTGATGAAAAACATTTGCTCCCACAGTGGCAGTCTTCAGTGGACACCAGAACTCCACGTTTTACGTCAAGTCCTCAATCAGCCCCGATGACCAGTTCCTGGCCAGCGGCTCGAGTGACAACCATGTATACATTTGGAAGGTAAAGTCTTTAATTATGGAAATCCCCAAATACTTGTTTGTTCTTGTTGGTTATGTCAAAAATTGGAGCGTTTCAGTTTTTTTTAAACAAGTGTTACCGTTTCAGATTTCTGATCCACAACACCCTCCCATGATGCTTCAGGGTCACAGTGAGGAAGTGACATCTGTTGCATGGTGTCCGACAGATTTCACCAAAGTAAGTTGAAAAATCTTTGGGTTTTTTTGCATAAATGAACAAACAGCTATGCAAAACATCGATTAGAGAGGCTCTGTGCGTCCCTGCTGAGTCTTAAGTTTATTAACCCCCCACTGCTCTGCTGGCAGATTGCTTCCTGCTCTGATGATCACACTGTCCGGATATGGCGGCTTCAACGGAAAACTGATGATGCACAGTCATCGGTGGGGGAGGCTAACCTTATAGGTTGGGCGCATCCGAAATCTCCCACAAGTACGTACTCCTCCCACAGTGATATATCAATAAAATACTTATTTTGTTGTCATTCAAAAACCGAACGGTTCAAATATGTTCTGTTTACTCATAACTTGCAATTCTGCTTTAAAACCAAACTTCAAATCTTTAAGTGTTCAGTGGAAAGGTTCTAAACAATAAATATCTTACCTGTTGTGGGCAGCTCTTTGAATGACTTTAATTTAGAAGATTAAAGTTTAATTCTGACCCAATTGATGAGATGAAGGCTAGCCCAAAATACAACAAGGCTCAAGAGGTTACTTGTTGTCACAACTGATCATTTATAACAGACACAGAACACAAAGTAAGAAGAAAGAGAAGTCTTCCTCCAGGCTAGGCTAACGGCTAGCCCTTTTTTAAATTAGTTTTTCAGGCTTATAAAACGAGTCTTTCTCAAAACCAACATACACGTGTGAAAGAATGCTGAATTAGCCTGTATGAAACCTCCACGCTTCCGCATAACATTGAAACTGAACAGCCTCATTCATTTTGCAGAGATTTGAATAGTAACACCGACGTTCAGCTGAGGCAAAAGGGTGACAAACTAAACAAACAATGCCACACAAGTGTACAGGTTTCCAATTGGCTAATGTAGTGTTCTTTTAATAGCTATGTGTTGTTTTTTTAAGCTTGGGAAAGTAAAAAATGGGCCCTGCTTTAGCTCGCTCCAGCCTAGAGGACGCCTTCTGCCATTTTCTAAATACTTCGTGCTCTGACTGATAAGGCGCTAACTCTAGAAAACCATCTGATCCAAAATCACATCGAGAATCACCAGACTATCCTTTTAAAACTATTTCAGTCTCCAAAACCTCATAACGGTTCATGCGAACACTAATATATAAACTTTTACATCCCTGTTTGTCTTGGATGACAGTTATTTACTCAGAATTGTACAGTTAGCTTTCTGCTATTAGTTGTGACACTTCTGGTGCAGCCTAGGGCACTTCCAGCATGAATATTGTATTTTTCCCATCAGAATAACTGCATAATGCAAATCTGGCAACAGTGTAAAGGTTTATAAAATGTGTTTATGTGAACTTGCTTTGAGGCAGCAGTCCATTTTAGTCTCCGGCTAACCGCTAGCTTGTCAGCCTAGTTGGAAATAAACAATTTCTCTAAGCTAAATCTGTTCAAAGTGCTAACAAATATATGTCATGTTTATTACGTTTTCACAAAAATAACACCTTTATAAACTAGTCATCATATCTGCGCTTTATCTGAATTTGACTTTTGCTGTTGTTCAGTGCCCTCGGTCCAAGCTGAAACAACCCCAGCCAGAACCCAGAGGACGGAGAGCCTTGGAGGCCTGGCCTCCCCACTGCTTGCTGCCTGTGCCCCCAGTGGAGCTGCTCTGCCTCTGCCCTCCAGCACCACATCGCCCATCCTGTCCAAGCCACCTTTTGTTCTGCAGAGGGCGTCACCGTCTATCATACAGTGGCTGTCTCCAACCCACGGATCTCCACCACATCAGGAGCTGAACCTGTGTCCTCTGAGCCCACCGAGCAGCGCCTCTGCAGCCAAGCAACAAGCCAAACGCCGGCTGGGAGCGGACGACGGTTCACCCGCAGGCCGCGAGGACACCCAACAGTGTGACTGCGATACTAAACTCTCCCCTGCGGCCAAAAGAAGTCGCGACGTGTCCGACGTCTTCTGCAACTTTCAGGAAAGCCCAGACTCTGACACAGAGGGCAGCAGTCAAACCGCCTCCAGACAGACTGGGAGGGAGAACTGCAGTCCAACAAACTGGTTGTCAGAAATGAGCCAAAAGATGAAAAGCAATCAAGAAAGTTTCAGTACTTTCAGGAGTCCCATCAGCATTAAAAAACAAGATGGCAGGACTCATACTTCACCAGTAAGTACAGAGAATCCAAGGTTCAGGAACAAGTTTACTTTTTAAACAACTTTTTTATAATTATCACCCAAAGGCAGGAAGCGACAATGTTTTTGCTCCTGACTGTCGGACTGAGTTTATTTGTAGCGTAGCGAAGTATTTAATAATCTACAGGTTTCAATGAAACTGAGCATCACCCAATCGCCCATGAGACTGAGCAAAACATTTTCAAAGTTTGGCCAAACCAGTGATAACTCCATCACTTCCAAATCCCTTCAAGGAATACTAGGCCTTAACGTTGCTTGTCCTCGGGCGACCTATGGGACAGATCTGGCTGGCAGGCGCCAGACGAAGACTTCCAGATGGGAGACGAAATGCTTCTCACTTAAAGAAACTGGTCCAGATGACACGATTTAACCTTTTTGTTGTTATCTACCTGGATTATTGAGCTTACAAACCTTAATACTAGGCCGTATTATATATATATTTACTAAATAAAGTTTAGCAACTAAATATAAAGAATTCTGTTAAATAAACGGCATGTTTTCTACACAAGCTTTAAGAATACCGTATTTTCTGCCGTACTTGTCACACCGTCTTAAAAGTCGCATCAGTCCAAATATGTCTAATAAAGTGGAGAAAAAAAATAACGTATAAGTCGCTTCTATTATGCGTCACCGCTGACAACCCATAAATGTGAGCCGGTGTTGTGCCAAAAATCTATTGGCTGCCAAATGGTGGCTGCGGGAGCGTCCACGGGAGGACTTTAACAAGAATTTAACAAGTTTAACACTTAAAAACAATTATTTGCTTGCTCTAAATTATAGCAAAGGTGTGTCTGAGTTTAACTTTTCTTTAATAAATGCACTTTGACAGTCAAATCAGCTGTATTTCAAAAGTATTCGATGCCTCAGTGCTCCGGGAGCACGCAGAGGGAGGAAATCAGCAAGGAGGAACGCTGCACATTTCTTCGAAATTTAACAAGATAAGCACCTAAAACAATTATTTGTTTGCGCAACATTATAGTAAAGGTGTGTCTCAGTTGAACTTGTACTTAATAAATGCATTTCAATGGTCAAACTAGCTGCATTTTGCCGGGGCAGTGCAGCAAAATGAAGCTGATTTGACGTTTCTCCAGGCGAGGTGGACAAAGGTGGCAGCTATGGCAAGCTGATTGTGTCATTAATAGCCACTTTTACCTATTACTGTACATGACACAACGGCAAGAGCTGCTGCCTCTCAGCGAGCAGGTCCTTGGTTCAAACCCCGGTCCAGGGGCCTTTCTGGGTGGAGTTTGCATGTTCTCTCCGTGCATGCGTGGGTTTTCTCCGGGTGCTCCGGTTTCCACCCACAGACCAAAAACATGCATGTTAGGCTGATTGGTAACTCTAAATTGTCCCTATGTGTGAGTGAGAGAGTGAATGGTTGTTTGTCTCGTTTGTCTCTATGCGGCCCTGTGATGGACTTGCGACCCGTCCAGGGTGTACCCCGCCCCTCGCACAGTGATTGCTGGACATGGGCACCAGCAACCCCCGTGACCCAAAATGGAATAAACGGGTAAAGATAATGGATGGATGGATGGACACAACGGCATGGCAAACAACTTGAGTGCCATCTAACTGCTGAAAATGGTAGTGTTTAATATTTTCAGTCAGAATTAATGAAAACGGTCATATCTCAGCCAAAAATTAGTTTATAAATATGGGAAAAATCCATAAATAAGTCGCTTCGGTGTATAAGCCGCAGGGTATGTAAATTATGCAAAAAACTGTGACTTGTAGGCTGAAAAATACGGTAATCGGTTCTCATTTATCGTCAGGTAAAAAAATAAAAAAATAAATGTTTTTTGTGTGTGTTTTAAAGATCTTTGTCTTAAATTATATGATATAAACTTCAGAACTTGTTCATTCTGACAACCGAAGCTGAGTTTTCTTCTCTTATGTTTTTCAGGTTCTCCGCTCCCCGCACACCACAAAGAAAATCCCCATGTATTTTACAAAGATGCCTCATGAGTGAACCGCCCGGTGTGTGCTGACGATTTTGTTCGGGGTGTTCTTTCAACCAGGGTTGCACAGAAGTTGAAAAAACTGTCAATCTGAATATTTGATGCCTTGATTTTTGACACTCGGACACTTTTTTTAGTCTTATATTGTTAATAGAAACTTTGGTTTCGTTGTCTCCCACACAAAGTTCTGGTGCCTGAGAAATGAAATTAGAGTTAATCAGTCAATTGACTCAAATCAAACCACCTTTAAAACAAGAGCTAAAGGTTTATAGGTTGTACCAAAGGTTTTCTGTATGTGTAGGAGCATTTTAACTGAAAAAAAATATTTTATTTTATTTCCATCTTTGAGACTTTTTCTTATTTTTCTCTGCTCTGTTGCTGTGTAAACATAATTCTTGTTTTTGTTTCTTTTTCATACGTAGAGTTGACCCGTTTGTGTTCCACAGACAATTTCTTACACTGGCCACATGCTTGTTTATATGTACAAACAACTCAAAGAATGTTGCTTAGTTTGTTTGTACAGTATTTAATTGATGCCTAGCTGTTGTCAAATTAGATTAAATTTATAGTTTCAGTGTTTTTCGCCTGTTTTTGGTGTATAAATCATATTGTGTTTGGCAGTAAAGCAACATAGATTTTTTTTTTTACTCATACTTGAGAATATATGTATACCTACAGGTTCCTTTGATTGTAAAGTGCACACAAAATACAAAAACTAAGTCATTTAATTAAGGGTGCCTAGGCATTAAAGCACCCTTAATATTCTGTTAAAAACAAAAAGCATAAAAATAAACGGCACATACGCGAGGGTCGTCTCCATTTCACGCCTAAGCTTTTTCAGTTATATTGTAGCACCCTTTTTTTTCTCCAAACTTGGAAAGTGAGGGATTTTTTTTTTAAACTTGTCATACCTCCTACACAAAAATCACTAAAGAAACAAAAATATTAATTTGTTGCCATCAGAGTCTCTGCTCACAGCTCAAAAATAAATGGACTGCATTTATATAGCACCTTTCTATCTTATCCAGATACTCAAAGCACTTTACACAACAATCTGTGCCCTCATGTACCCATTCATACAGCACTCTACTAGAACTCTACAAATCTAATTGAACAAATCATTCTAATGAGACTAATCAGTGCTTTGAGATCACATTCATACACTGATGGGACACACACATCAGAGGTTCAGTGTGTCGCCCAGGGACACTTCGGCATGTGATTGCTGGTGGATTCGAACCCACAACTCTTGCATTGGAGGACAACTGCTCTAACCACTCAGCCACCCTAATATATAAACAAATCTTTTTGCACAAGTATTTGAGGCGTAATTGTACTTTATTTTTTTCATGCTTTTTTTTAAATCCAAACACCTCTGCATAATTAAGGCTATTTTAGCCATCCATGTTTCATATAAATATATATTTTCAGTACAGGGCTATGTTTTCTGTTTAATTTTTTTCTTATACTTTTTAATATATTTAACTTTAATTGCAGATATTATCTTTAATATGCATAAAGATTTCTTCAGTTCCTTCAAATTCTTGATGGAAACTGCTTTAGTATACTTTCTCCAAGTTTAGCTTTTAGCTAGCCATTAGGTTTGTTTAGCTTTTAGCTACTGTTCTGCTATTTTTAGCATTAAGCTAGCCCTTTGCTACATTTACCTTTTAAACTTCCTTTCTCTCAAACAAAACGACTTTTTTTTTTTTTGCTTTTGGCAAGACTTGATGCGTTTAGCTTTTTTTTCTAAACTTTTACTGTATTTGTTGCTTTCAACTAATATTTTGTCACATCTAATTTAATATTAAGTCACAAGACACTCAACATTCACATTTCATATCTTTTTGCCTTATCTGACGCTATCTGCCAGTTTTCAACGTCAACTCTTTGTTTTCACACGTTATGGCCCGCCCTCCTGCCGCGCCTTGATAGGCCTAAAAAGTTTCCAGTTTACACATAGCCGCGTCGTGATTGGCTGCCAGAAACGTCAATCATTGACGTACACCTGTCAACGTTTTCTCAGTCCTGAGCACGCAGACGAAAAAAAAAGCGACGGAACGACTGGCAGCCTTTGAGCGTTTTATGGCTGCCTGTTCGGCTCGAGAATCACTTATTTATTCGGTCTTTTTAGAGGCCGCGAAAACGGAACCGTTGCCGTCCGCTAGGCGAGCATTGTGGCGAGGACGAAGTCGGTCTTTATGCGGATAACTTCGCTGCTAAACGAGTCCGCCGAGCGACGTTTGAACTTCATTGTGGGAGAGCGAGAGACTCAGCGGAAGTGTCTAACTCTGGATTTAAAACCGATGCTTGAAGTCGTGGACTGTGTTCTTTAACGAGGGCTTTCATGTAGTGCAATTAAGGTAGATTTTCTCTTCAGTACCAGTGCAGTTTTCCGCCCTGTTAAAATAAGCTAACAAGCTAGCTGTGCGCATTAGCAGCTAGCGGCACAGTGCGTTTAATCCAGACCATTTTTAATGGCAATGCCTTACCTACGTTATGCAACAGGTAGACCCACTGCAAACACGCTGCAACAACATATGGGTATTTAGACGTTTATTTGTATTAGTTTTCTACTGCTTAGTGTAGTGCATTCACTGTCGGACTATTTAAAGATTGTTCCAACATAACTTCAATGATGCAGTTTAAGGACACAGCCTGACGACGAGAGGAAATCATGTCGGATCTTGCAGAATAACGCAAGAAGAAGCCTCGGCAGCAGCTCGGACGGTTCTCTCTGGATTTTTAATCATCATTTAGTACACGACAGCTCGTCTGCGATCTTCGTGAGTTGTGTGCATCAAAATGTCGGCCATCTCTGCATCCGAAAAGGTGGACGGCTTCACGAGGAAGTCTGTGAGGAAGGCGCAGAAGCAGCGGAGATCCCAGGGCTCGTCGCAGTACCGCAGCCAGGGCGCTCCGGTGGAGCTGTCCCCGCTGCCGCAGCTCAAAGGTAAGGTGGGAGGATGGAAGGGTCCGCCGCTCCACAGTTCGTCCTGACCCCTGTGTTTGTGGTGGTGGTGGTGTGTGCACGCCTGGATCTGCAGCTGCTCTGTAGAGAAGGCTGGTTTGCTTTGCTGAGTATGTTGAAACCACGTTTAAATGCCCTCCACCCCTCTAGGAAAAACAAGCTGACCGTAACTTCTTGTGAAACAGTGCTTTAAACTTAGTACAAAATAAAACGTGTGCTTGGTTGATTATTTGTAACAGTGCTTCCTGGCAAGCGATGCATCACACAGCTGGAAAGCCTGTTTATTTCCTCAAACTGTGCTGCATTTGTGAGAATTAAACATCTGGTTGCACCCTTGGAAAAACTATCAAAGCTCTTCTGCTAGTGCCAGACACCATATTCAGCTATTGATGCTCATTTTGCTTTGTTAGATTGGGTCATTGAAGAAACGAGACATTGACAATTTAATAAATGTAACAAACTTGGGCCTCAGTAGCATGTGGAAGAACCATACAGAGCCACAGCAGCCTGGCACCACATCATGTTGCTCAAAGGCTTGGTCATACACTGCTGTAGGATGACGTCTTGTTCGTCAACAAGCATTTTTCACAAATCGGCCAGTGTAGTTGTGTTGATGACTGGAATGAACAGCATGCCTAAGCTGATCCCACAGGTGTTCAGTTAGGTTGAAGTCAGGACTGCAGGAGGGCCATCCTCTCCATTACAAAATTCTGGAGGTAGACTCTGATAAAGCCCACCCTGTGGGGGAGAGTGTTATCAACTTGAGTGATGGAATTCAGTCCCAGATTATGGAGATGTGGGATTGCCACTGGTAGAGCACAGGTGCTGACAAACTGGTATCAGACACCTGACTACCAGCACCAGTAGTCGGTGTCTGGCAAGTTTTTCCATTACCACAACCCACATACTCTGCTTCTCAACATGCAAATCCTTTTTCCTCACAAATGTTGCATTGATAAAAGAGATATAAACAGGTTTTCCAACTGTATTGGAAGTACTGTACTGAAAGCTATAATCTGGTGCAGTGCATCTTTTCTCAGTTTGAGTTTAATAATAAAAATCCTGACAATTTTATTGTGAAGTAGCATCGTTACAACAAAGAATATATATACGTGTGTGTATGTGTGTGTATATTTTTAAAAAAACTTTAATTTCTAACACTTTATGGGCTATATTAATCAATTTCCTGTTCTTAGGTTAATGAAACCTTGTGCTCTTCCTTGCACAAGGTATGCTAACAAAATTTTCTGTGATTTACGGTATGTTAAAAAAAAAGGATTAAAAAAGCTTTAAAATAACTTTCAAATGATATCACGGTTGTGTATTTGGGATTAAAATGTAGCAAAGTTACAGCATTTTGTCTTTGAAAAAATTGGAATCAATTGTGTCCAGAATTTTCGTTGAACATTGTAAAAGTTGTAACACGTCAGAAAAACTAGCAGAATTTTTACAACATTTTTGAGATTGTATTGAAACTTTAGGTAAACGTTTTCGAGTATCGGTATGTAGAATGTACTAGTACTAATATTAGTAAAACATTTTTTACTAGTAAAATAACTATTCGCCCCAAAGATTGAGTTTGCTACTGCAGTAAATTATATTTTCTTTACTATTTTCACATATTGCTGGTTTAAAAAAAACATGTGCGTTGACAAATAAAATTGGTAGACTTTTTAAAAATTTATTAAGATAGGCAAACATAAACTAACAGTCTATATGGTAATTTTTTTTATGCCACAACTTTCCAAATAGGAAGTAAAACAATTAGATGTCAAATGAAATTCTGGGTATTTTTCCCCATTTATGATCAATGCAGATTCCTATTGTTCCAACTAACTAGCCAAGAAAAATAGGTCATTCTGTGTTTGTTTCTTCCTGTCCTTTCTAACCCAAGTTGGTTGAGGCAGATAACAGCTCATCCTGAGCCCAGTTCGGCTGGAGGTTTCTTCCTGTTAATAGGGAGTCGTTACTTTCCACTGTCGCCAGCGTGCTGCTCAGGATGAGGGACTGAGACGAAGTGAAGATTGAACACAGTCCTCTGGCTTCCTTAGATAACTTTTACTCATTTACATTTTTTAATGAGTATGATTGTTTTTGTACAGCGCCCTGAGATAACATTTGAAGTGAATTGGTGCTAAATAAATACATTTAATTGAACTGAATTTAACAGTTGATTGTTTTAAGGCGATGACCCTGTCTGGTAAAAAACAAATCACAGATTCAGAGGTTGGGGTCAAGTTTACAGCTGGGCCAGCACTAAGAGTAACACAACTACCATACTTGCATTGTCTTTACTTTGTGCTTTCATCAAGGTTAGATCTGTCAGGAAGGCTGGGAAGTGCCTCAGAATGGTGTTTGACGGCGTGTTTTGGTTCATTCTGTGTTGCCACCTCTGTTATGGAGCTGCAACATCTAAAGTCTTGACTTAGATAGAGCAGCTTGTATTGTCGACCCTGTCCCGATGCTGGTAAAAAATAACTGTTCACAGTAAAAACAACGTGGAGAAAGATGAAGAGCAATCTCGTTTTGTGTGACTTTTCACGTTTCTACAGGATGTTGGAATGTTTTGAAGCAATAAGATTTAACAAAGAGGGATTAAATAACTCACTCCCAACATTTCACATGACTTAAAGGACTAGGTTAAAGAGTCGCCTGTTGCATACCAGGCATGTTGGGTTTAATCTGTTCATTTGTCCGTCTCATTTGCCCTGAACTGTTCAATGTTCACATTTCAAGTCCGTAAAGAAACTAACCAGCAGAGCCTCATGATTGTGCAGTGAAATGTGACACTGTGTGGAATAATATGGGCAGACATTATAAAACCTGGCTGCTTGTTTTAGGTTGAAGCATAATTATATGTTGTGGATCGAAACAGCCACCTCAGCTTGCTGTTTTTTTTTTATGTTCAGTTGGAGAGGTTTTAATATTTGTGTAAATTTCAGCACGTCTTCTTTTACTACACTGACATGACACATTGTTGTTGTTTTTTTTAACACAGTTGTAGTTTCATACAGTTCATACTTGCATAATGAGCTCCAATATAGGCAAGCCACAATACGTTTGAAACGCCAATACATCTGTTTGTTCTTGTCGTTTGTCGGTGTAAGCGCTGTGGCAACGGTACAAATCGACGCACGCATACTGATACCAGATATCTCATCTGGTTGACTTCCTTTAGCCTGAAGTCAAACTAATCCTGTTGAGCCTGCTAATAACTACATGTATTTAGGTCTCAATCATCTACTTGAGCATTTAAACTCTACTTTTCACCAAAAATACTGCTAAAGTGCCGCACACGGCTTCCATTGTTGTACGATAGGCTCGTATAATACAGAGGAATGGAAGCGAACGAGCTTATTCAGACTGAGCTTAAATTCTGAGTTACTCTCTCCATTAGGTCTGACAAGCTGCAACAGCTTGAGAAATGTTTTGATGCTGAGGGGGAAGAGCAAGCAAGAAGGACTTGCCTGATCAGGTAGTTGAAGCTGCGTACGCAGGACGCAGCGTGATGCAACTTCTTTGCAAATCTTGAAAACAAATTGTCATAATTTGGTATTAGAAATTAGCCTTAAGAGAAACATTCATATTAAAAAATGTTGTAGCAGGCATACCAAAAGAGCAAGGGGATAAAATGAAGCCAAGATGTTCAGGAAAAATTTAAAACTCTTGGTTTTATTTTTTTAAGTGTGTGTGTGGGGGGGGGGGGGGGATGCCCAAAACTGACATGAAAAAGCATGGCATCCACGAGTGTGACGGGACTGAAAGTATCAAGCAAATTATCCCACTGTCTTCTCCTGAAAGCTCAATGGAGATTTGTTTTGATCCAGTAACTTGAAAATACAGGAATGTCTTCATATACATGTTAGTACTTATTTTTTGTACATTTAAGTATTTATAAGGAAAGCTCTGCTACCTTCTGTAGTGTTCACATAATTAGTTATAAACAACTATCCATAATGCTTACTGTATTTAGTGAGTGTTTTTAGTATGAGTAAAATATAATTGTTCTATAGAAGCAGCACATTACTGCACATTGACTGGTTTATGGATCTGTATTAGAGTATACATTAAAAAAATACAGCAGAATAGTTGTAGTGGAGCTGATGTTGAACATTTGTTTTAAAGATTTTTGATAAGATTTTGGGTCTGGTTTGGTTTTCCCACTCCTTTTTGTGTGTGTATGTGTTTTTTTTTTTTTTTAACTTGAGGCTGATCTGATCGCCTGTCTGATTGAATGAAGGACTAAGTAATGATAAAACCACATTAATCAAAAATACTTCTGGTAACGCATTTACAACTCTAATAAGTCTTAGGTCGAGAGCCTCGGATATACTTTTTTAAAAACGGAATTGGTATTATTTTAAGACAATAGTCAGATATTTGAATAATCAGAAAACGTAGCATTTCGAACACATGCTTAAAAATCTAAAGTTGAATTACATGGTTTATTGTTAACTCAAGTTAAGTAGTTTTTAACATTTAAGCCATGTGCACTATTTCATGTACTGGTAACTAATTTAATGTAAAAGCGCACCTACAACTATTACTGCTAACTATTTTAAACACCTCTTAATTACTCTATTAGTTCTATTATTTAATGTTCATAGACAAATAGATATAAAACAACACATACGATCCTGTCAACTTGTGTGTTTACACATAGATGCACTCGAGTGCTTTTTCCATATAAAATAGTCAATGAAAGCAGAAGAAAGTCAGCAATTAATTTTTTAATGTTGTAATTTAGATGGTAAATACCTAAACAAAAGTTTAAAGATCTGTATCTGTTAAATTAGTTACCCTTATTAAAGTAAAAGTCATAGTTATGCTGAATATTATATTTCCATGTTTGAATTTGTGCAGTAATATTTAGTGTAAATTTATGATCTTGGTGCTTTAATCAGCCATGTTTCTGCCTTGGTACCAATCAGACAGCAGTGTTTCCCCTACCATTATACAAGCGGGGTGCCCCACCCCGTCAA